TTCAACTTATCTTATACTTTTTTCTTCTTCTTCTTCTTGTAGTTTATCTTATATCAAATTTTATTTTATTATAAGAGACTGAGGTTAATTTGGAGAATCGTTAATATTTGTGAAAGTTTCAAATCCTAAAATGTCGTGATTTAAAATTGGTGAACTATGCTTTTATTATGTGGATAATAAGGAAAGCTATCTAATAAAATATTATTAATGAAAGTGATACTTTCTAGTTATATATCCTTTGAAGACAGCTTGAATTTTGATTACTCCCTCTATATTTTGGGGAGTAAATTTCTTAGCAAAATTCAGTGTATGTTTGGATTTTGTAAATTTTGTTTTTATTTCTGCTGTCTTATTTTCTAGTGTAAAATTAGTGCATTGTTAACAATTTCCCATTGTTGATTGAAATATTTCAAATAAAAATTATATACTAAGACATAATCATTTCTTAATGTTTTTGATAGTGATAATTTATTACATAATTATTTATTTTTATATAATAGGGTTTCTAAATGCATTAATTTGACAATGAAACAAATAAATTTTTGGAAGAATTAAAAAATGGATCTAGCAATATATTAGTAAAGATTTTTCTATTTTCTAGGTAGCAATAAGAGTTAGGCCTTTAAATTAGAAGGAAAGAAGTGTATCAGAGTTTGAAACTATAAGAATACTTGATGGAAAGATGATAGTATTGATGGATCCAGAATCAGAAAGAGAAGATGAAGTATTGACATTATATAGAATAGTTATTAAGAAAAAATAGGTTAAAGGAAACTAATTTTGCATTTGATTTTGTTTTTGATTAATGGGCACCACAATAAAAGATTTATGAAAACACAACAGAGTTTTTATTGGAAGGAGTATTGGAAGGATTCAATACAACTGTATTTTGTTATGGTGCAACAGGTTCTGGCAAGACATTTACGTAAATTATATATAAATAATTATAGAATGATAGGAACCTAATAAGAAGTTGGTTTAATGCCAAGAGCATTATAGTCACTTTTTAATTATTCTTAATCAGATCGATTCAAAGAAACTTAATTTAAGGTCTCTTATGTTGAAATATATAATGAAAACATACGAGATTTATTGACATAAGAAGATAAAAATTTAGAAATTAGAGAAGATAAAAATAATGGAATATAAATAGCAGGTGTTATTGAAATTGAAGTTAAAACAGTAACTGAAGTGTTATCTCTTTTAAAAGTTGGTAATAGAAATCGATCCAAAGAAGCAACTGATGCAAATAAAGAATCATCTAGATCTCATGCTATATTATAAGTTTAAGTAGAATGTAAAGATAAGGCATCAGGATTATAAGAATAAATCATATAAAGCAAATTTAGTTTGGTAGATTTAGCAGGTAGTGAAAGAGCTTCCAATACAAATAATAGAGGTTAAAGAATGGTAGAAGGAGCAAATATCAACAAATCATTATTAGTTTTAGGCAATTGTATTCAATCATTATCAGAAGCAAATGAAAAAGGAATCAAAAATCCATTTATACCATTTAGAAATTCCAAATTAACCAGATTATTAAAAGATTCTTTAGGTGGAAATTGTAGAACCGTTATGATTTCTAACGTCACTCCATCAGTAAGTAGTTTTGAAGAAACCTACAATACATTAGTCTATGCAAATAGAGCTAAAAATATTAAAACTGTTGCTAATAGAAATGTCTTATTGGCCTAAAATCACATTAGTAATTATGCACTTCTAATTTAAAATCTTAGATAGGAAAATGAAGAACTCAAATAATTGATATAATAATAATAATTAAATTCCATTACTCCTTAAACAAGTAGCAAGTAAATCTATTAAGTAGGATTGCCTTCCATTAATTAAAAAACAGTCCCAGTTCCTTTATTAAATTTGAAATAATAGGTTAATGAATTGGAATCTATTATAAATCAAAATATTTCTGATATCATAGAAGCAAAAAATAAATTATATGATATGGAGCAACAACAGAATCAATATTAATAAAATATTGGTTTTTTATAATATTAAAAAGGTCGCTCATAAGATAAATTCGAATAAATGAAATTATTAGAAAGAATTGATAATGCTAAAACACAAAAAGCTATTCTTAAATAAAGTGAAGATGATATGAAATAATAATTACTTGAATATGATATCAAAAAAGTTGATATTTAAAAGTAAGTTTAATAAATACCAGATTTAAATCAAAAAACCTATTTGTAAGGAATCATTAAGTAAGGAGAACTTAAAATAGTAATTATTATTATCCTATATTATTATAGGAAAATATTGAACTTTAAATTTAGGAAAAAAGAAGGAGATATTAGGAATAAATTTAAGATGAATAAGTAAGATAATTAAGAACTTAAATACATTAATAATAATAAACAAAAAATATTTAAAGTGCAAAATCTAAATCTAGTTATTAAAATGGACCCAAAAAAAGTATATCATTAATTTAGTATTTTAGTTCCTAGTTTACCTGGAGTAGATTCACCATATTATTCTATTACTGGTGGATAAACTTATGCTGTACAAAGGTATTTAAATCTTATTTTTAGCAGAAGTTAAAAACAAAAATCTCATCTTAAACTTCCACCTGTATTATAAATGGCTTAATTGCAAAAATCTCCTAAAACTTAGAATTCTAGTTTGAATAGTAAACATTATAATCTATTAGGTAATCCTTTAAAATATAGAATGGCTTAAAGATACACAACTAGATTGAATAGACCTCCATCTTATCGTCCTCCTAGTTCTTCTAGGAAATCTGCTATTGGAAAATATATTAATAGATCATTAGATTTAGGAAGTGAAAGAGAAAGTGTCAATAAAAGTTCTGGAGATTTATAAAATTCAGTTAGTCTTAGGAAACTTAAAAAACTTCATTAAGAATATTAATAATAGAGATTTGAAAGAGTCGTAAGTGGTAAAAGGAATTAAAAATCTATGCCATATTTTGGTAGCAAAGTTCTTTTGCCAGGTATGGTTCACAAATCACCATATGTTAAAAACTTTTAGAATAATTAAGAACCAATTGAATTAAAAAAAGAGAGATTGAAAATGCTAAATATTAATCTTAAAGCTTAATATGGCGATAAATTTTCGCTGCAAAATTGAATATAAATAATAAGTTAAAGTACTACTTTAAAATAAATCAATTCAAATTTTATTCACTTATACTTAACTAAATGATTTTGATTTAAATCTTTAATCAACAGCTAATTTTTCTTATTACTCAAATTATCGTTTAACTTTTTAAAGTCTAAACTTTATTTTTTTATGTTATTTATATTCTTATAACTTCTATTTAAAATCAATCTAACTTTGTTAATCTAATATTCTTTTGCATAAGTTTATATTTTCATCCAATATTTTAAATGTTTGTTCTTTCGATTATGAAGATTTTAGTGAAATTTAGAAATTTTAAAGTTTTTATGGGACTTAAAATGATCGTGCATGTATTCTCTTTAAATTTGAAGCTAATAATTAATTTTTATGGTAAATTTCAGCTTATATCATTTCATCTTTAATATTTGTTGATTTTGGCAATTTAATTGACTTACTTCTATGATAACCAATAGCACTTTTTGATCGTTTTATTTCTTCTAATTTTTATTGATGTATCAGAAAATCTCTAAAATGATGTTTGATATTTATTTTACCTATCTCTACGTAAGAGTTCATTTGAATCATTTGTATAATATAAATATTTAGACTTATTCATTTACAAATAATAATAAATAATAAAATATATAATATTATTGTAAATATTATATTGTGATTATATTAATATTAGAAGATTATTAAATTCTAGAGTTTTATTCTAAAGATTATCAAATTTAGACTTTTCGTAATTTCTCAAAAAATTAAGTTTAACAAATATTTCACTTTAATAATAATTTGAAATTATTATTGTTATAATTATCTATAATTTATAATTATTTATAAAGTTCCTAATGATTAATCAAACAATCTTAAAAATTCTGAATACAAACAATATTAATCTTGCTGATAGTGCACTATAATTGGAAAAGGCAGGTTAATTAAATTTTAATATTATATAGGTATTCAAAACGTCTTTAATTACTTATCTAAATCAGATGTCACAAAAATAGTGTTTCCAGAATAGGTAATAAAATTACTATGCGTATTTCACTTCATGATATAAAAAAAAACTTTAGATGTACAGATCTTTTAAGATTGTAATATTTATTGGATTACAAATGTTTTGAATAATAGTTTTATAATGGAGAGGTTATCAACAGAAATGAGTTCTTCAAGCACTTTTGCTAGAAGTAGTTAATTTTCATCTTTGAGATCTTCACAATAATAGACAGATAGGAATAATCCTCATTTTTAAACAGAGTCAAAATCTTAAAAAGTACATACAAAGAGAATGGATTGTTTTTAAAGTTATTCAGAAAAATAATAAACTGAAAGACACATAATTAGAGAACCTCTATCATATTAATCAATGTTATAATTATACTATACATATTTAAAACGAGTATGCCATTATTCATCAAGTGGAATACCTATAATAGAATTATATGTAATATAAAACATTTGTTCAATGGGATTACGTATAATTGAAGGATAGAAATGTCCAAAATTAGATTTTTGTTTTTAACTTATACTGAAAGATCTTGAAGAATTTTAAAGTTAATAAATTGATTATCTGAAAGAATTGATAATTGATTTAAAAGATAAGAATAATGAATAAATGTTTGATATATTTGAGATCTATAAATTATTATGTTTAAATGGAAAATAAATTAAATTTTTTGGAGTGTTGAATAAATTAACAATAAATCAATAAAAACTTAAAAGTTTTAAAAAGGAATGTAAAGAATTTGTAATAGAATGTAAATAACATTTAAGAAAAGTGAAACTCTAATAAAATTAGGATAGATTAAGTGTTTCTGAATTTAAAACAAATAATTTCTTTGAATATGAAAGAAAATAGTTGTATAACAATTATTGATTTATTTAATATATATTTATAAATCTCATCATTATAAGATTTATACTTTTTCACCAACTCTTTAAGTAGCTCTAAATAATGCTGCCAAAACCTAATGAGTAGTTAAACTTTTATGATGCCATGAATGATCAGTCTTTTTAGAAAGAATAATATTAGCAAAAGTATCAATCATTTTTACTGTATGATTGCAAGCTTCAACTTTAATAACTTCTTCTTTTCCTTATAGATCATCTACAAAAAACCTTTCACTTCCAACAAAGTTTTCAAAATAAGCATTGAAATTTCCAGTTCTACCAAATCCTCCAACTAAATCATCTATTCTAATTTATCCATTTTCACAAACTATATCAACAAAAGATCTATGAGGAAAAGTTGCTCCACAATCGAAATATGCATATCTTTCATTTTCAAATTCTAAGAATCCAGAAAATTCTATTATTGTATCAACTTTATTTAATTTGTATTAAAGACATTAAACAAATTTTGGTAATTCATAATCGAATGCAAAAAGTATTGCTCCTATAGGATACCATCCTTAATCACCTAAACAACCTTAAGGTTCTTAATTTTTATTTGTTCTTCCATTTCCTCCATGTAACCATTCTTCATTAGGAGCTTTGAAAGTCATTGCAGCTGTAACTTTTAGTACTTTTCCTAATTCTTATTTCTTTTATTTAGCAACCTATGTTCTTAATGAATGTAACCACATAGTTCCATCTAAAAATTGAACTCCATTTTATTCACAACTTTTAATCATATCTTCCAAACATTAAGAAGAATCAGCACCTGGTAATGGTTTTTCTACCAAGACATGTTTCTTTTTGTTAGCAGCTTTTATTGTCCATTCTTTTTTTAAAGATGTTGGTAATGGTATATATACTCCATCAACATTTGGATCATCCAATAATTCATCATATGAACCATAAGCAATTTTTATGTTATGAGCATCAGCCCATTATCTAGCTTTTTCTAATGATCTACTAGCTACACAATATACTTCAGCATATTCAGAAGAATTAATAGCTTAACATACTTTATGAGCAATTTCTGCTGTTGACATAATTCCTATGCGAACCTTACTATTCATTATAATAAATTTTAATATTTCATAATAATGAGTAAAAAAGAGGGAGATTAAATTGATGCTTTGTGTTTTCCTAATGCAGAAGATTATTAAAATGATTTTGATACAGCTAATTAAGTACTTTTGGGATCAGGATCTTATGGATAAGTTTATAAAATGATATTTAAATCGAACCCTTCTTAAAGTTGTGCAGTAAAAATAGTTCAGTGCATTAAGTAATATCTTTTATATTCTAGTAAAAAATCATATGATTTAGCTTTAAAAGAGGTTTAATTGAACAGATAAATTAATATTCATCCTAATATTATATACTTTGACAAAATTTATGCATGGTCTGAAACTATTCCAGTTTAGAAATATATTTTAGTATTTTAAATGAAATTGGCTATGGGTAGTTTAAAAGATCTAAAAGATAATGAAATTAAAGCAAACAGAAAAACATATAATGGTATATTTACATTCAAAAATTTGTAGAAATAAGTTTCTTAAATATTATAAATCAATTATTATAAGCATTTCAATTTTTATAATAGAAAGAACTTTATCATAGAGATATTAAGCCAGAAAATATCTTATATGATAAAGAAAACGATAAAATTATAGTAAGAATTGCTGATTTTGGTGTTAGTAAAGCATTGGAACATTTTAAAAATAATTTTAAAAATACTCTTGTTGGAACACCACTTTATTTATCACCAAAATTATGGGAAGCTTATATTAATGGTTAATATAATGATGTTAAGTAATATTATATAATATTTCTCTAGACATAATTTAGAAAAATCTGATGTATTTTCTTTAGGAGTTACTCTCATTTAAACTTATTTATTGTTATAAGATCATGATATTGCTGGATTAAATGATTAAAAATAAAACAAAATCCCTAATATTTTATAAAAGATTTATCATGATAAAATCAAAGAATTATTGACAGGAATGTTAAATTATGATGAAAAATCTAGATTTACTTGGTAATAGTCAATAAATTGTCTTAATGGAATAGATAAGATTAATGGAAGCATAGAGTAAAATTAAGGAGGAAGTCTATAAAATAAAGAAAAACATTATGCTTTACATATTCCTTATGAAAAAACTATTACAAATAAATCATAATCTATTAAATTGAGAAAAATAAATTAGATTTATTGTTAAGAATTGAATGAAATTACAAAAGGATAAATTGCTGATGATTAAAGTATAATAGTTTTTAGTGATAATTACTTTATTGAAATTAATTTTGAAGGATAAGTTATTCTTAAAAAACAAATTTAAAGTATCTATAATTTATATATATATATTTATTTTAGATCTAAAATGTGTATGTTTGATTGAATAACCAAGGAAAATTATAGGAGTATTTGAAAATAATACAATTTAAATTTTGGATGATGAATTGTCTCAACCATTTAGTTTAACTTCATCAACATAATAAATTAATGTTATAAGTTAAATGACAGAAGCTAATGTTCTTTTTGGATTTGGAAATGGAGAGGTACAAGTATTGTAACATTTTGACAAAACTTTTAAAGTATTAAATACATTGAAAGATCATACAGTTTAGGTTAATTTAATCTATTTTGATAAACTTAATCAGATGTTGATTACTTCTGATAGTTCTCGAATATTAAGTGTTAGATTTTTATTTAACAATAAATTGTAGATATTTCTTATTACTAATTAGTTCTTATTTAAAATTAGATTATATAGCATAACATGTGGAATTATTGAATGATACATAAATTGTAGTAAATGGATAAAAATTGAATGAAATTTTAATTTTGCATATCTCTCATATATAAAAAGAACCTGGAATTAAATTAGAAATTAAATAAACTTTATCTCTACAAACTGGATGTGTATTATCCTTAATTAATTTAAGTGAAAAATGCTTATTTGTATCAACTGAAAAAGAAATAATTATTTATGAATTATAATCAATTCAATAAGATTAAGGGCATCTTTTCAATAATGATATGTAATAAACATTTTATTATTGTAATTGGATAAGAGATCGTGGATATTTGATTACAAATGATGGATAAAGAATTATGAAATGGGAAATTGATTATGAAAAAAATTAATTATTTGGAACAAATCGTATTGTTAAACCTTAAAAAAAGAAGTGTTGTTGTTGTGAAAGTTGTTCTATAATGTGAAAATATATATATATATTTAAAAGAATTTGATTATTTAACTCTTTATTCATATAGACAATTTTAATGTTTTCATATTGACATGTTCTCATTATTTTATCAGAATTTTAATACAAATTACATTTTTGAAGTCTTATGTCTCATTCATATGTCAAATTTAACAATTTATTCAATTCATATCAAATGATAATTATTATGCAATTTTTTTTTCTTTTTAGATTGATTAAAGATGCATAATGAATGAGATATATGATTTAGAATGATTTTAATGATGATTTACTTGATGCCATATTTCCATTATATATAAATTATTTTTTATATATTAAATAATACAGAATGCATTGTGCATCAATAATTGAGTCATCAATTAAAAACATAAATGTAATTATAGATTATTCAATAATTAAAATTACTTATGACTCATCAAAGACCTCCAGTCCCAAAATTCAATGATGAATGTCTCACTCCAAAAATTGAAATGTCTTTATTAGAAGAAGTTCAGCATTTGATTTTTAAAATGAATTTGGATTTTGAGATTGAAAAGAAAGCAATAAGAATAATTTAAACAATTCCTCTTTAAAATAATGTAACATCAGCTAAAGGTGTGATTTTCTATTGTCTCAAAGAATCAAATAGAAAATTGCCTTAATTGGATAAAAAAGTCGAATACGTCATTAAATTAATTGAACAATAGTAAAGCCTGAACTTTTCTAATGTCTGTTAAAAAATGGGTTTCGGTGATTAAGTTTCAAAAGTTTGCGAAACTTTGAAAAAGCAACTTGTTTATTTAATTGGCAAATTAACGATAAACCTTTAAATAGCTATAACAATAAAAATTGCTGCTGACATAATATTTTATAAATAAGGAGGCTTAAATACTAAGTTTTTAGCATTCCACACAAAAGTTAATGAAGAATAGTTAAAATGCTCTCTCAATAGAATTAAACCATTTTCAGAAAAAATCATGACAGATCTCTTCAATCATTACAATGACAATCCTCTTTGATTAAATTCTTATTTTTGTTTTAATCTTGTGTATTAAAAGTTTAAAAAATATATTAAATAAATAACTAGTATTAACCAAAGTTTAATAAAGTATTAATATCAACTATAGTACTTAATATATTTGTATAAAATGATTTAAATAAAATTACTTGTATAAATAATTATTCTTAAATTTAATTGAAAAATAACAAAAGTATGGAATCTAACTTCAAAATTGAGTGCTTCAGGCATAAAATATTGGGAAATAAGTAATGTATATTGGAAGTTACTAATGATAAAATAATAATTACAAACATTACAGACTCACCAAATAAGAGAAATGAATTAGACATTAATTATAATTTATTTGTTGATTTTAAAGTCAAGAAAAAGTAGCTACAAGCTATTGGTTTGACAACAAATAAACATCATTGGTATTATGCGGATCATGACAATTTGATCAATTTAAAGTCAATTTTAGGAGCAAGAGTAGTGTTTAAAGGTGTAAATACCTTATATAATCCATTATAATAAATTGGCTAAGGAACCTTCTCCAATGTTTACTTATTACAATCCAAATTGAATAGTCTTGAATATTATGCTTGTAAATGTTTAGACAAAGCTTAAGTGAATGAATAAATTGGTAGAGTAATATATTTATTAATATTGTTAGTAAGGATTGTTTGAAGAAATCTAAGCGATGGTTGCTTTGAAGCATCCAAATATAGCAGAGCTTCTAGAAGTTTATGAGGGTGATGTATCTTATTATATGGTAATGCAATATTATGATCTTGAATTTACTGACATTCTAAAAGAACTAAACATTCAAGACATACACATAATATTTAAATAATTAGTAACAGCAGTAAATTTTATGCATGAAAAAGGATACATGCATAGAGATTTAAAACCAGAAAATATTATGTTTAGTGATAGTATTTATTAATTGAAACTTATTGATTTTGGATTGACAACTAAAAGTTCAGGAAGATCAAAATGTGGTACACCTGGTTATGTTGCACCTGAAATTTTAAATCTTGATACAAAGATTAATGAATATAACTAAAAATGTGACATATTTTCATTAGGAGTTATATTCTATAAGATGTATAATTAATTATTATTATTAGGCTGACTTAAAATGACCTATTTTAAGGAGTAAATCATGAAGAGATTTTAGAAAATAATGCTCGATGCGATACAAATTTTGAACTTTTAAATGGAAATCAAAATATACCAAAATAAGCAATACATCTATTAAAAATGATGCTTCAAATTGATCCCACTTTAAGGATTGATTCAAAAGATATTTTACAACATTAGTATTTTACTATTGAAGAATAAACTCATAATAATACCATAAATAGTGCTGGTCAACTTTCGAGAAAGCATTCATCAGTGATTAAGATACTATCCCCAATATAAAAGAAAAATGGTATGTTTACTTCTCCTTTTTCAATTCATGATGATGAATGTATAGAAAATGAGGCTTTAATGCAACCAATTCCTACAGTAATAATGAAAGGAGGTTCAGTACAAGATATTGTTAAAGCAAAAACACAAGGAAGAAATAGAAAGTTATCTAAAGATGCAACAAAGAAATATCAGACAACTGATTTCGATGATATAGTCTCAGAAATTAAATAATGTAATTATAGACCCCCTAAGCCTAGTTAGTTATCAGAAATGTATAATAAATGAATATTTGGTTTCAAGACATTAAATTATTGTAAATATTTATATAATAACCTCAAATTGTTTTTTATATAATAGAATTAAGGATTCCTATAACTGCAAAGACTCCTCCTACAATAGCCAATAATTAAACAATAAAATGATAGACAGATTTCTTTTAAATTGAATAGACCATATTGACTGGACTAATTTAATATTTAAAATAAATTGAATCGATTTCTGTAAAGGTTCTGGGCATTTATGCTTCATTGATAGAGTATTTATAGAGAGTTTGATAGTTTAGTTCATTTACATCATAAAACTTCACAGGCAAAGCATTAATATAATATTCATAATCTTGTTTCTCACCTTCAGGTACTGATTTTTCAATTTATTCCCAGGGTAATTAGAATTTCTAGAGAGATTTTGAGTATTTCTTTAATTTTGCTGAAGAGATTTCTCCAAATCTTAAATCATAGATAGTATGATCTAATTTTAGTTTTCTAAAAGTTTATAATTCTCTTTGATGAATTCTCTATATTAAATAATGATGTGCATGGTAACTGATATGAAAATTACCTGGGACCTTATTTACTTAGAAGAATCCCTTTAATTAACATTAATCTCCTTGATTGATTGCTTTAATTGCATCTATTAATTCTTATTCACTTCCAATATAATTAGGTCTTTCGTTATTATCAATCTTTATATGAATATTATTGTTTAATTACAGAGGGCAACACATGTCTATCTTTATCAAGAGAAATCTTTTTCAATGTACCAGATACATCCATTACATGTACTCCTACCTCATCTTATTAATCCAATGACAACACCATACATGGAGCTCCAATAATTATATCTAAATGAACTTTGATAAATTATTCAGAGTCATTGTCAATCACAGTTTAATAGTTTAATTCTGTGATAAAAAATAATCTACATTCATTTAGTGTTAATATAGTCACCAACTATCAAGAAATATGTTAGAAACTTTACTGCAAATGCTAAAATAGTTAAGAATCCACCAAAAGATGATGAAGTATCACCAATATCAGTATTTAATTTCCTAAAAAAATCCAATTATCTTAAACCCATTTATATTAAATTATTGTATTATTTTTAAGACGATTTCAATTACTCAAAAAATAAATACATATATAAGTTTTACAATAAATAAATATTTAAGACATCTAAGTTGTTAAAATATATTTACTAATATATTAATTATAATATGAATCTTAGACCACAAGATAATTAAGAAGTATCCTTAGTATTCATCACTAATTTTAGGGCAATCAAGCATAATACAATAAAAAATATGCTATTTATTATTAAAAGCCTGGAGTAGAGGAACTTAAACAAATAGTACTTGAATTACCCAATATATTCACAGTTGGTGACTGTATAGATTTTACTATTGAATAAATCAACATTTAAGATCCTAGTAAATAATACAATGATAATTATTATTAGCTTTTAAATTCAAAGGGTCTGCAGATTGTTTTAAATTAAGAGTAGCAAAAAAGAATGGTAAACCAAAAGATGATTTACCTGGTAATTAAATAGATATATTTTAGCTTTGGATCATGAATAATAACTCATTGATACTGGTGCAATAGTATTTGCATTAGTTTTAAATCCAAATTAATAATAATTAGAAAAATAGATAACATTTGCTCCAACTAATTATACCAATCAGACTCAACAATCTTAAGTCAATTAATAAGATTCCTCCATTAAACAAAGAACTTCTTACAGCAATAGTTTAAGCAACAAAAAGAAAGTAATTAGAATCTTCCATATGTTTAGAATAAAAATGGTGGAAATGATTAAAAGAATGATGCAAATGGATTTTGCTTCTTTAAGTAATGCGCCTGAAATGAATTCGTACTACTAACTTAATATATCCCATATCATTAAAAAAATATCTAATTATAATTATCAAATATATTTTTCTTTTGAATTATGTATTAATCATAAAAATAAGAAAACTAAAATCATTCCAAAACCAAATAGATTCATTGAAAATGTGAAAGGCAAGAAGATTTTCTATAATATTTAATCCTATTCATACCTTAACATATGGAACTATAGTATCTCGTAAAGATTTCTCAGTATTTGGATCTATTTCAGAATCAATAAGTTCAATAAACTTAACCCTTAAAGTCAATTACACTGAATTACCAGTATAACTAGCATAACTATCTATAATAAATAGATAATACTTTATAGGTATATTAGTTACATTGGCTGAGATAATAGTATTCTAAAGATCTCCAACAAATCCAGCCTTCTAGTAAATAATAGTTAATTATTATTCTATAGGTAGAGTACAAGATGATGTAACATTTTCTATTTATGTTGTATTTATTTATATCCATTCACCAGTTCTATTATTACTTGAAGAACCCCATTTTCCAATGTAATAAAAACTACCAGTATTATCTTTAAAACTCTTCATTATTTCATAGTTGATACCACTAGAACAGTATGTACCTAAACTAACGGTTGCTTCAAGTGAACAACTTAATACAAGCTAATTTAATTAATATTTTACATCTTCTCCAAAATTTATAACTTTATATAACTTATTATTATAATCTGCTGCTCCAGTACTGCAATAACCATTGGTTTACCATGCATAAACTCTTAATTCTTTATACCAAATAAGATTAAAACCATCTCCATTTGATTTACCAACCATTAAAGGTTTTCCTTTTATATATCCTGGATTACCAGAATAATATCCTTAAGGTAATAAAGATGTAGGATTAATATATTGAGGATTAGTAACTAAAGTAAAAAGTATGCTTCCTGTACTTACAATATCAAAGCTTTTATAATCAGGTGTTAAAGTTTGAGTATCCTCAATATTGGCAAATACACCTGCATAAGGTAATCTTTAAACTGCACTGCACATTATATCATTAATTTAATTAAAATGATATTTGTCATCAAAAACATTTTATTTATTGACTAGATCACCACATTCTGGATAAAAGTAATCAGTTTCTGAATTTGAATTCAAACATATTCCTAAAATTGTCCATTCTTCTATAAAAGTTTCTGAGCATCTAACATCACAACAACATTATGAATCACATATGTTAATAATAAGATCACACATACATGCTCCTCTATTTGGATCTAATATTGAATTTGATAAATGAACCTGAATAAATTCTAGTACTTCTAATTTAAATGTTTTCAGCAACAGTATTAGTTGCATTCTCATCTACAACAGGGACTTAAATAGTTTTAGTAAACTATGAATATACATAAATTATGAAGGATGCAAATATTAAATACATAAATATTAATATCAAATTTATTTCAATTTTTTTTCTTCAAGTTTTAGATAATTATTCATAAAAATCAGCATTTGTTTGCAAAAACTCTCCTTTAATGTCATAATTAAATATTTTCAATATATTTGGATATACAATAGTGATATACCAGCATTAAATAAAAATAGCTGGAATGAACTTAAATTAATTAAAATATTACTATTAGAAAAGCTGTTATATAAATATTATATGTTTAGATTATCAATAATGGTAAAGGTAATAGTAATGGTAAATAGAAAAATAATCTACATATTTTAAAAGTTAAATTCTTTTAATTCATTGAACTAAAGTATTCTAATTAATTAAAACTTCCTTAACCAAAAAAACATCCTTATATAAATGAAAATATAAAGGAGAATAATGTTCCATTTAAAAAACAAGCATTATATAAAACTTTTGTATGATCTTTTGTGTAATATCCAATCTCTTTATGTTTACATTAAGTAATTTTATACAACCATTTATTAACTTCTTCTTCATTTTAATTAAACACTTTTCTGTTTAATTCCAATAATGTTATATCCATCAAAATTACAACAATAAACATGGCTGAAATTGATACAGACATTCTTTAAAATCTCACATTATCTTCGGTGCTCATTTGCAATTGATTTTTAATGTACCTTTATTTATCAAGAATTAGTACTATAATAAGAATCGATGACAATAAATCTGATAATTAAAAACTATATAAAGTCCATATATCCATCCTAATGAAACTTATCCTATTGTATGTACTCCCAAAAATACTCTTGATAATCCAGTCATAATTATGCATAAAAATGCTAAGATATTAAGAAATATCACTAATCCTTTTTTATTTTATGGCTCATCTTAATTACTTTTCTCTTAATTGTCAGAAACTTTGACTTTGTTAAATATGAAAGTGGATGGATAAAATATAAATAGGTATGAGTAATATATTATGACTGAAGTTTAAGCATGACCAGATGGTTTACCAAATTCCATATTACATCCAATACTGAAATATCATAATTATTCTATATACCCTTCTATTTCATCTTCAACCCAATATGGTCTAGGTTAATGGTATGCATTTTTCAATAGACCATTACTTGTAAATCCAAACATGCATAAAAAGATGTATAAAATAGATTCTATCTTTTTGCTAGATAACATAAATTGTAATCCTCCCAATAACATAGGTAGTTGAATTACATATGAAAAAAATTAAAACATCAATTTTTCTCCTGGAAATGTGTTATTCTGTAATAGTACTGTAAAATCAATGTTTATCTTCCAAAAATAATCATTGAAGATAATATCCAATGTTAGATAAGAAATTAGTGCCAAAGTTGAAATGATTAAAAAATTCATATTAAAAATTTATGGATTACAATCGAAACGATATCATCACTCAAGAGCTAAAAGCAAAGTTTGATCTAGATGTTCAGTACTTCATTTAAACTACTTAATAGAATTAAAGATCCATAATCACGTCTCTTTCTTAAAGGATATTTTAAATCAGATTCTGAAATACATTCTTCCCGATTTGATAAAGATGACATTATGTTAGCTCTAGGATGTTCTAATGGATTAGTTTGTGTTTATGATCTAACCAGAAGTATTAATTTATACAATCTAAGGTGAAAAGACAGCATTTTATACATATCTCAGTTCTAAATCAAATATGAAATTGCCATGCACTTCTCTTAGGTTTAATATTAAATTATAAATAGATGGTTTTCAAGTGAAAAATCTACCAAAATGAGACAAGTCTTGATTTCAGCAAATACTGATGGTATAAAGATGTATCTAAATTAGGTACCATAATGTATAAAAATGTGAGAACTGATTCTACTATCTATTAATTTAAAGAAGAAGATGACAATGAAGTATATTGCATAGATGCTTTAAAAAACTAATTAGCAACTTGTGGGAAGGATTGTAAAGTAATGGGCATTTTTGTAATTTTAGGTTAGAGTGTATGATATTGAGGCATAAACATTATAAGCCACTTTAGAAGCCATATAATGGGTTTAACCTGGCCATAATAATAGATTATTCAGTGTTAAAATTGTACCTTATGATAAAAATTTAGTTATCAGTGGAGGTTGGGACTAGAATATAGTTATATGGGTAGTTTTGTAAATGATATTAAAAGGATTTGAGACAAAAATCCTAAGCTGGATGTATAGTAGGTCCAAAAATTGCAGGTGATGCCATTGATATTAGAGAAGGTACAATATTAACAGGGGCAAACAGAATGAGTGAACAATTATAAATATGGGATTTGGGTACAATGAAATTGATTGAAAATATAAAATGGGATGAGAAGGTAGATGCAGCTGGGGCATTTATATATGGATCTTAATTTGGAAAAGGAAGAGGATATTGTGTAGGAGGTGTTGCTCATGGAACAAATGAATTTAAAATGTTTGATAGAATAAAGGGATCTTATAAGGAAGCCATGTAATTAGGTGGATTTAAAAAAGGTTTATATTTGTTATAATAAAATTCAGGACTATATACAATGGATTTTGCAAATACATCAAATAAGTGTGTAATTGGAGGAGGAGATGGTATATGCTTAATGTTAGCAATTGTTCCTAATAAAGATCAATGACGAGTGATTTGATTATTATATTAATCTATATCAAAAGAAATTGTTTAAAATAAAAAAATTAATGAATTACAGAACAATTAAATAATTGACTATTATGCCAAGATTTTATTATCAATAAGAGATATTAAAGCCATCAAAGAAGTTTACACTTAAGCCTAAACCTTATTGTGAAACTTTACATTTTTAGAGAGAAGTAAATATTATTTAGAATGTATTTAAAGAGAAATAAAAGTAGACTAGAATGGTTATTTGGAACAATATTTGCATTATTCTATTTTATGAATATTCATGGAAAAGAATTTATTTATTTTCCATGGTTTTAGCCATCAAAACCAGAATAATTGTGATTGGAATTTAAATAAAATAATTATAAATTATATGTATATTCTTAATATGTTCAAATATTGTTAATTTTCATAAATACATTTATAAATTAGTGAATTGATTATTTAATCTTAAATTTGCTCTACTTAAACTTTGACGAGAAATTGTAGATCTATGAATTTCATTAGATTCTGTTTTAATAATAGATTTAACATCATGACTTAATCTTGGTAATTATCGTGGAGTATATAATGTAAAGTTATTCATCATTGAATGTCTATTTAATGGTCTTGAAGTAATAATTGGTGATACACATAAATGTTCCTATTATGGAATACATTTAACATCTAATTTTAATGATATCTTTGTTTTTTGAGATTCTCGTTTTTAAGCATTAGTAAAAAAAGGATGTTATTTAGCTGATAATATTGATATTCTATTTTCTGGTTATGATTCTAACATCTTTTTCATTAAAGATAATGCTTCTGAACTACAATCAATGTCATCATAATTAATATCACCTATTTCATTCAATTTAATAGTTTATTAATTATTTTTACCAATAAATGGTCTTCTACCAGATAATAATATATATAATAAAACACCAATACTATAGATATCTACCTTATAATCATATGGTTATCCACGGAGTATTTCAGGAGCTACATATCCTGGTGTACCACATCTACGATATAAATAGTTTCCATCATATTTATAAAAATCTGCCAATCCAAAATCTCCTATCACTATATCATTTAAATTGTTTTTTTATCTTAATATTAAATTTTCTGGTTTTATATCTCTGTGAAGCACTCCTTAAGAATGCATATACTAGATTCCATTTAATAAATTTTATATTATCTAAGAAATTTTCAATTCACTTAATTTCTCACTTCTCTCTAAGTATTCATGTAAATCTCCTCCTTTTAATAATTCTTAAACAAAATATATGTAATTTGAATTTTCAAAGACTTCATAAATAGTCAATAATTATTTATGATTCATTAAACGAAGTATCTACATTTCTTTTATTAAATTTTTCTTGTCTTTCTCATTATTAATATGTCGCTTTTCAAAACATTTCACTGCATATTCATTTTAAGTGAATTTGCACTCTGCCAAATAAATCTAAAAATAAAAATAAATTTATTACTGTAGCAAATGTTCCCTTAGCTATCATTTTCTTTATTGTATATCTCTAAGTGAAATTAAATTAGATACTAGTCTTCTTCAGTTAATCAAATATTGATTTTATTTTACCAAAAAACTCAAAAGTATAATTTCCTTTGGTTATTCTTACTCCTTAATCGTTATTAAAATCACTTGTTATTAATTCCAATCCAGCATTTTCCACATTTGTACTATACTATTTCTATTTATTATAAATCTATTATTTTACATCATCCTATTCCATTATAAGGTTTTTCTTATTCAATCTCAGATTGCAAGGAATAGTTTCAAAAGGAGTCTAAATATAGTAGAGATCTTCCATTAAATATTTTTGGGTCTTATCAATTTTAGTATTATCCCAAAACTAAGTACATTGTTAAGAGAAATAAGATTTAAAGCAATATTTTTGATTCATAGCTAAATTTAATGATTTGTTAGTTTGATGATTTTTGTTAAATGATAATTATTTATATCAAAAAATTATAAGTCTGCCTCTTTTACTACTGCCTACCCATAATATATAATAGATATAAATGATATATCTCAATTTATTAATCAAATTTCACTATTTTAATCAATGTATTTTATTGGGAAATACAAATTATAAATATTTATATTACTTTTCAAATTCATGTAATCTAATTTTATTTTATTTTAAATATTAATATAATATAATATAAAAATGAAAATTGTTGATAGTTCAATTATTTTTTACATTTGAATAGCTGTAAAATACTTGAATAGTTAGTATCAAAGTATTATAATAATAAAACTTAATAGAAGAAAAAATAATTTGATAAAAAAATACAATTTTTTGTATAATATATATATCATGAACTATATTAATTAATTAAAGGATTTCATTCAGTAATCATATAAAAAGATTAAAATTTATGAAAATCTTAATTTCTTATAAAAAGTACTTTAGATTATTATCTTTTAAAGCATCAAATCAAGTATATAATTTCTAATAGCTTTTATTTATATTATTTTGATAAAGATGATATTGTTATTTATATTATTTTAGATGATATTTACAAATTAACATTAATTTTAAAGTCATCTATTGTATCTTACAATATCAATTTTTACATATAATTTAAACTAAACTTTAAAAGAAGGAAATTTATAATAATAAAATGGTATGTTTTTTTTCTATACATTGAATAGAATGAATTAAATTAATATCCACTTGTATATAACTCATAAGATATAACTCTAAGAATCATAAGAAAAGATATTTATATTATAATGAATCAGAGATTAATGCATATATTTAATTTAAGTTTACTAAATGCAGACTCCTGACTAAAAGAAAAAGAAACCATAAATTGCTAAAATTAGTCTTTAATCAGAACAAGCTTAACCTGTTCTTAATCTGTATTTAGCATATTAAAAATATTAGTTCCGAGAATGGATCTCTCATTCTCAAAGAATTTCGTCTAAATGGCTAAGGGCTTAAAGTTACTCATACACATGATTAATGGGACTTTTCACTCTCTGAATCTACTCATAATTTATCACTTGAAAATTTAGTAACAGTTGGACATTTAGGTCAGGGTGCATCAGGTCAAGTTGAAAAAGTATAAGATTAAGTCACAGGACAATATTTTGCAATGAAAGTATTCACAAATAAGTATTTAGAAAATTCCTGTTGCCTCTGATCCACAATATTTGAAATAACTTTCAGATGAATTAAAACTAGCTTTAGAATGCAGTTCACCTTATGTTGTCAAATGTTATGGTGCATTCTATAAATCTGGAACCTTACATATAATTCTTGAATATATGGATGTTGGGTCTATAGATTCTTTGATAAAGAAAGTAAAAAATCTGAATGAACCTGTTATGGCTTTGCTTTTATATCAAATTCTTTTAGGAATTGATTATTTACATAACAAAAAGAAAATCATTCATAGAGACATTAAACCATAAAACATATTAGTAAATAAGAAGGGTGAGATTAAGATAACTGATTTTGGTATATCAGGTACCATAGAAACAATGCAATAAAGAAAAACATATGTTGGAACTGCTGTTTATATGTCAGTATGAATTTAATTATAAATTAGCCTGAAAGATTAAATGGTGAAATGTATGGAAAAGATTCAGATATATGGTCAATTGGTATATTAACAGCAGAATGTTTGATGGGTAAACATCCAATCCAGAAAACATAATTTATAGATATGGTTAATGAAATTAGTTCATTTAACATAGAAAATGTTTAAGCCAAGATTTCAGCAGAAATGAAAAATTTCATATCTATGTGGTAATTATATTAATAAATTTAAAGTGTAAAATTAAAACCAGAAGAGAGAGCAACAGTAGATTAATTGTTAAATCATAAAATCATTTTAAGAACAAAAAAAATTGATAAAATGGTTTTCTTATAATGGTTGAATTAAGTGACATAATTATGAATTATAATTAATCTTATGTTATATACATTATTTATATATTTCATTTATATTTAGAGAAATTGAAAATTAATTAAAATTAATTATTATAGATTAAAAAATGATGTTTTATTTCTTTTCTAACATTTCATAATCTATATAAAAGACTCTTTATATTAGATAATATTTTTCCTTCTTTTATTTAATTTACAAATTGTAGGTATTTATAATTGTAATAAATATTGTAAATTATTATATCTATAATTTCAATTAATAAGAGCAGAATTTAATTCTTTTATAACATCCTCCAATTTAGGTCTCTATTTTGGGTCAGAATTAGTCATTTTCGAAATTATTTCATGCATTATTATACTATATGTACTCTTATTATCCTTACTTTTTAATTTTTCAAGATATTATTGTATAGATTAATTTCTTTTGTCTTTATTCTTAGTATAATGAAGATTATCTTTAATCATAAATTCCAAGAAACATATTCCCATTTACCAAATATCATAACTTTCTTCATAAGGTATATCATCCATATTTTCTGGAGGTAAATAATTTTAAGTTCCTCTAAAATTATCTTTTCCTCCTTTTTCTATGTTTGATTCATAATCTATTATTGACCATTAAAGTTGATCAATTTGATTGATATTTTGATCTGTAATTTCATGTAATTTATCAGTATAAATTTCTTTTGCCGTAACCATAATATTTTCTGGTTTTAAATCTCTATGAATTTTTTTTCTATCATGTAATTTTTTTAATTCAGAAGCTAATTTACTACAAATTTTCATTTTTTCTTTTATATTTAAAATACTATTAGCTCTTTCTGAATACTCTTTTAAAGTTAAACTAAATTTTTATAAGTACAAAAGTGTTGAATTTTATAACTCCAAATTGTAACAAAATAATTATTTTATGTTATCATTATTGGTTTCTATTTTTAATTTTTTATAATTTTCAACCTCCATTAATCTATTTTTTTAATCTTCCACGCATACCCACTTTATAAGGATATAATCTTATTTAGTTTGAATGTAATATGGGACTTTAACAGAAAAAATATGTGTAAAATTTTAATTATAGCATTTTGAGTCTTTAATCTCTAGTCCATAGATAGATTATAGAATCTATTGTCTCCAATCATCTTTTTTTAAATTAATATTTAATTTTTCTAAAATATAATCTAGTATTTCTTCAAAACTCTTTAATTTATTAATATTAAAAGGATTTAACCCAAACTTAATCACTTAGAATATTTACAATAAATACAAATATCTTTCAATAAATTTAGAAGGTCATCTTCTTTTTTTGGTCTGTCTTCTTTTATAAGAGTTTGTTATATAAAAATATCTAATTTGTTTAATTATCCACAATCATTTACAAATAAGTCTTCCATCCTTATTTTTTCAAGTTTCTTTCCTTCAACATGAATTGTATTTACAACTACTTAAAAAAACTTTTGGTACTTATAGTTAATTAATACATCAACTTTAAAATTTATGTCATAGGTAATAGTTCATTTTATTAAACCAATTAAATCAATGGTATTAATTTAATATTAGGCGATTCTTTGTGAAGTATTCCTTTCTAGAAAATCATTATATTATTTTCTATTAAACTTTAAAAGCTATTAAAAAAATAAATAAACAATATTTAATTTATTCTTCTCATCATAATGATCTCCTATCTAAATTCTCATAATACAATCAAATATTCTTTTCTTATCTATTTATAGATTAAAAAATATAGTTTATCATTAAAAAGATGATCTTTAAAATTAATTAATATATTGAGTAATATTAGAAATTGATAGAATAATTAAAAATTAGTTCATAAAAAATAATTATAATAAATAATAAATGATTAATGTAATAAATAAAAGCCTCATACATTTGTGTGATTATATAAATTCTCATAATAAAATTAATTAGAATAACAAATAATAAAAAATAATATTATATTATTATTTATTTTAATAAAAATCTCTTAAAAAATTCATTCCAAATTTCCCCTTCTTTATATAAATTCTAATAATTTTTCTCTTGCCTATTTTTCAGATGTTGCTCTAATTTTTTTATGTATTTAATAAGTATTCTTATCTCTCAATACATAAAGATTTTAACCATCAATTGGATCCTCATCTGTCATTGTAATTTCAAATTCAGATTAATTTTTACCTTTAAAGTATCTAAATAAACGATCTTGAGGATTTTTAAATATTTAATTTGGTGATGTAAAGTGCTACATAAAGGGCATTAATAATTTAAGAACAATTTATTTAGTTAGATCATAATTAAATGAAGAATCTACAAAAATAGCACCAACAATAGATTCGAATACGTCACCTAAAATTTTAATAATTGGTTCTTAAGTGTACATCTTACTTATATCATCGTAATATTCATTATACATAGATTTAATTTTATTTAGTGTTATGTTATTTTCATGATTTGTCTTATGTAGATCTTGATGTAATAAAAACTAATCCAATTTATAATGAATGGTTACTAAAGCAAGAGCTTTATTGCAAACAACACATTACTTTTTTAGAGCCAAATCTTCAACTTTTTCTTTATTAAATTCTTTGACTAACCATTCAACTACAACTGAATCTAAAACAGCATCCCCTAAAAATTCTAATCTTTCATAACTCATATCAATTCTATTTTAATTTTAATTTAATTGGGCTAATAATGATTCATTAATTTCATTAGTATTTAAATTTTTAATCTAAATTAAATTTTATTAACTTTTAAATTCAACAAAATTGCATTTACACTTTTTATAATTGTAATAATCTAATACATTAAGAAAAGATTAATAAGTAATAGCTTAAATTAATAATGAGTGATCATTGAATTTATATCCAATAATATTTTCTAATGAATTTAAATTCTTTTGAAGTAATCCTTTTGCTTATTAGGTTTTTGAATTTTTTAATTTTACTTATGCTAAAGGGTATTTTAAAACTCCTATCCGATTTAAGAAAAATTAACAAGCATTAATATCTTCCTCATATTAAATCAAAAATGCTCCATTTAATGCTTCAACTACATCTGAATGAACTTTTTCAGGAATAGGCTAATAGTTTTTTGGTAATTCATTTATAACTTCACCATTTTGTGTATATTAATATTTTGCATTCTCTTTGTTCTCTTTTTATTTTTCATTTTATATTTCTGATTAATCTAAATTAAGTTTATTTTCATTGAGAATAAATTCTGGTGGATTATAAATGAAGTTTGTACATTTAATACAATTAAAAAATCTATGAATAATAGAAAATTTCCTTAAATTTTCATTAGAAACTATCCTAGCTCTTTCTAAATGTAATATATGTTCATTAGCAAATGGTAATTCAATAAATACTTAAATACTTGAAAGTAATTTTAAATTAGCATCTCCTAAAAATTCTAATATTTAATAATTTGTTTAATCATCTTAATTAAATTATTGTGATTGAAAACATCTATGTAACAATTCATTATCTATATCATGGATAGAATAATTAAATTTTCTTTATTTTAATTATTTTGAATGATCTTATATTTTATTTCCCAAATTTAATTCTAAATTTTTATTAAATTAATTCAATAAGTCTTAAAATTCTGAAGAATTATCAACAAAAAAATTAATTATTTCTTATGAATCTTAAATCATTATATTATCCATAATTTGATAGGTTTATGGTTGATAATTATTTAAATCTTATTTTCCAGAATCAAGTAACTTAGAAACCTAAGATTTAAAAGTAAAAGACACAAGAAAATCTCTTAATTATTATAATATATGTTTAGTTAATATTCTTAATTCTAATGCAGTTAATACATCTAATGGAAATTGATAAAATTCTCCTGAAAAATATTAATATTTAGGATCCTTTAATTCATTTTTTGTTATTATTTCTCTATTTTAATTAATATGATTTTTAAGAAATTTCCTTAAAATAGGAGCAGCATATAATTCTTTTTCATTTTCAAAATTAAAATTTATAACTAACTTTAAACTTCTTTATACATTATTTAATTCTCTCATATATTCATTTTTTCTTTCAATATCAAATCTTTCTAAATTTTATTCAATAGGCCTTTTTGAATCAAAAACAACTTTACTAAAAAAATATCTATCAGTTATATTTTAACCAATAATTCCTTTAAAATTTTATTCCTTTAATATCTTAATTAGATTTCCATCATATTCTAAACTATTCCAAGTTTCAAACCTTATACTCATATCACTTAATCTTTATCTTTCCTCTTTAATCTATTAATTCATTTTTTTCTTTTATCTTATAGAATTCACAAAATTAAACACTTTTTTCATCTTTTCAATGTATTTTACAATATTATAAGAATCTTCATAATTAATATTGATTTCCTCATTATTTAAGTCTTCATTCAATAATACTAATAGAGCATATTATTTTTCATCATCAATTAAATTAAATAATTACTTTTTACCTTATTAAAATAGAGCAGATTCAGATGAAATTTATTCTTTTGTAATAAATGAATAAAATGATAAATCCCAATCAAATGAAGTTGCTATCAAGAATTAATGTACTTAATTTAATAATTAATATTAATCTTAAGTTAGAGTAATCTTTTTAACAAATTCTAATCTTATCTCCTTTCCTCCTGAAAATTGATATCTATTACAGAATTAAGAATTATGAATAAATCCAATAACTTATTATTTATCTTTTTCATTTTTAATATGTTATGGTAACTCATAAAATTTAAATTTGTATAAATATAAAGGTTATTGAATTGAAATTTCAAATACATCCATTTTGTAAGGGAATAATTTTTATCTTAAATCAACTTATGGTTCTATTTTTATTACAACACTATCTTATATAACTTAACAATAATTTGGATCTTTTAAATTTGGATCATTTTTTCTATCAGATACAAAATTATATGCACTTTTTACAGGTCTTAAATCTTCAGTTAACATTTATTTTTATCTCAAAATTAAAACTGCTTTAAATGCAGCTGATCTTTTAGCATCATCTTTTGTTTTCATTAGATCTCCTATAAAATATCTATCAGAAAAATTCTTTGGTAAAATTAAAACACATTTCCAACCCAAAGATGGAAATTCAGAAAATTGATAAAATATTCCTCTTATATAGTTTTCATCTTTTCCTCTATATTCAAAATTTTTAAAAATATTAGCATAATTAGAAAGTATTTCTACAGCCCAATTAACATTTACTAAAGCAAGACTATCTTTAACCAATCTACAATCATAATATTCATCTTCAAACTTAGGTTTATTATTGATTTGCCTATTTAAAGTATTTATTCTATTTTTAAGATCAGAATAGTAGTTTTTCTAATCTAATTCTAATATTTTTCTTTCTACACATTCTTTTGTCTTAAATAATACTGTTTCTTTTGCCTTCCACATTAATTCTTTTTCTTTTGGTAAAATAAAATAAAATACAGAATCGTCTGCTCTTGCTCTTCCTATTTTTTAAATAAATTATTTTAAAGTTGTAATTTCTCCAAACACAAAAACATAATGACAATCTGGTACATCAAATCCTTCTTCAGTTACATTAGTTGAAACTAAAATATTGCAGCATTCTTTAAATTTTTTAATTGATTCTTTTTAAGCTTTTGAGGTTGTCAATGTTTGATCTAATTTTTTACCATAATTTTTTACTCCTTCTAAAACTTCTTATAATTAAGATCTTAATTTCAATTTAGTTTAATTTTCATCATCGTCATTATTTAATTCTATATCTTCTTCTTATCCTTCAATATTGAATTAATCATATATTTTTTCTGCTATTTCTAAAGCATTAATATTAGGAGATAAAGATATATATTTATTCCTATCTTTTAAAATTGTCATTTACAATGCACCAGATGTCAAATTACCAGTACCTACTACATATGTAGAATCTAATTAATGCAATTCTAATAATTAATGTAAATATTTGGCTGTAATCTTGTGATCAACAAATATTAAAAGTTTTTTATTATTATTTTAATTGTTTTTCATTATTTCTAATACTTAATTTCTTAAAGCTATAAATTTTTATGATAAATTTTAATCTTCTAAAACTGTTAAAGGTTGTAAAATTTCTAAATAATCTTGAAATAATTTTTTGATTTTATCTAATAATTTTTAATCTTTTTCAACTTTATATCTAACTTTTATTTCTCCAAAATTTATAAATAATTATTTAATAAATTAATAAAATGAGAAAGCACCTAAATCCTTATAAAGAATAAATCCATACAATGTAACAAAATGATATAACTAATCTACTAGTAATTATATACTATATGAAATCTTATCTTTTTCTTTTTCAAAATATAATTCTAACCATAATCTAAAAAAATCACTTAATGGTTAATGATTAGGAATGTAAATATTTGAAATACCAAATTACTAATCATATGTTATGACTTTTGATTGATAAACTTTTTGTTATTTTTCATTACTATAAATATATCTAGAATGTAAATTTAATGCTAGTTGAAGAATGTCTACTTCAATTTATAAACTTGAAACAGTGCTTAATTTGACTGCTTTTTCTATGTCAATAGAAGTGACAGGAGTTGCAGTTAAACCTAAAAATTTGACTTTATCACTATGTTATATTTATTTTCTAACTTTTTCACATTCATAGAATTCTTTAATTATCAATCTATATGAATGTCTTTTTGTACAATGATGACATTCATCAAATATTATTAATGAGAAATAAGGTAATTTCAAATATCCTCTTCTTAATGCATTCAATAACATTTAACCCATCATTACAAAAATACCTGATTCATTAATAATTTCATCCCATCTTTCTTTTTTCCAACCTTGAATATCCATATCATCATCACTTGCCAGAACAGACTTAGAATGGATAGGAACGATGAATTTTCTTTTAAAAGAATTGTCCTTAAATTATTAAATATCAAAATAGTAGTCTTATGGAGCTAATCCTTTTTTTTCCATTTCTTAAGCAACAGTAAATATTTAATCTCTAATTAATTCACATTGTTATTCAACTAATTAAATAGTATTCGCTAAAAATATTAATTTTGTATTCTAAAATCCATTCTTTTTTATATAATAATAAATATGCATTAAAGCAATATGAGTTTTACCTCTTCCAGTTTCTAGAAATATTATTGAATTTTTTTCTATTGATCTTTAAAACAGATCTATTTAATAATCTCTCAATTCAAAACTCTCTTCTTTATTTTAAAATTATTCATCCTAAGGAATATTATATTCCTCTTCTTTTATTTCATCTTATTATTAAGAAAATATCTCCTACAAGTAATTCATTGTTTCACTTTAATCTTAAATTTGTTTTACTTCTTATTATTCAGGAATAGATGACACATCTGATAAATCTAACATATCAAAAAAGTTTCCCTTTTATGGATCTAGAGTATCATAAGTAGAAGTAAATTCATAATTCATTAATTATTTTTTTTAATTTTAATGCAAATTATATAAATCCCTTTCTAAAATCAATTATTCTGAATAATAGTACATTAATTTTTATATCAATTTAATCATTTATAAATATCATAAAAAAACATAGTGTAATCATACAAGAAATAAATTTTATATATATATATTTAACAATATTTAAATTAATATTAAAAAATAGAAATTCTTTAGTTAATCTCATTGAAGCGGTGTACTTTCATTATTATTTTTCTCTGTCTATCACCAATATAAATAAAATTTACTTTATCAATCAATGAGATTAGTTTCTTCTATTAAAATAGTATTGTATATTTTTTATTATCTATCTGAATAAAATAGACAAAGACAATAACAAAAAGCAATTCCAATCCAAATATTTATAATAAAGATGATATCACTGCTGATACAATACAGTTACCGAATATATCATCTTTTGAATCGATGAAAACAATTAAAATTACTACCAAATTGGCAATTACATAACCAAAATAATACATACTTTTTGATCTGGGATCAGAAAATGCAAATTTTACAGTTTTTGGATATTTTTTTTCTAATTACTTGAATATACATTCTTCATAAAAGCAATAAAAAGTATAATAAAAGACTTTTTAAAACACAAGTCCTCCAAAACAAATTATTGGTATGTATAGATATTTATATATGTAGTCTTACATAGTATCCTAAATATTATTTTGTTATTCATATAATGATTAAGCAACTTCTTAATTTGTGAAAATAACAAATATATATATTACTTTTTCCAAACAAATCTAAATAATTTGATTACTTTACTAATTTGTGATTCTTTTTAGTTTCACAAGGCCAAAAGACAAATGCTTCTAAAATCTATTCTACACTAGAATTAGTTATAGTTTCTTTCTGATCCTAAATCTTTTTATTAAAACTCTTAGTATTTGTTTTCAAGATCAGGAAGATTGAGGATAAATAAAGAAAAGCAATAACACCAAAGTTAATCCCAGCATAATCTAAATCCTCCATTAATTGTATTTATTGAAATAAAATATAATAAAATAAATCGAATATACAATATATCTTTAAATTTATAAAAAGTAACAAGCTAAATTTTATCGGTATTTTTACTATATATAGAGAATTGAGGACGAAGAATAGAGATTATTAAACCAAAAAGATATAATTATGATTATTGATAAATATTGATTATAAAAGAAGTATTATTAATGCATCATCATAATATATTTAATTTTGCAATATTTGATATACGATTATGATAGCAAAACTATTTGAAAATTGAATAAGTTAACAATTTTTTCATAACTTTTAATAAATATTTAAGATTATAATAAGTACAATTATACTTTTGAATAAGAGCAGTATAATTTATTCGATATAATTCCAAAGTTATCAAATATATCTTATTTATATATAATTAGAGTGTATTTTATTATCTTCAAATATTATATATAAATTAGAATATTATAATAATTAAAATTCTATTATATGAATTACGTAAAAGAAGGGAAGATGTTATCGAATATTAATACTGTGAATATTGAAAAGAGATAATATAATATTTAAAGTAAGTAGTCTTTAAAATAGCTGATGAATTGTAATAAAAGATGAAAAACCCTAATTTTTTTTTACTCTTTAATATTTGAATTCTAAAAAATTAAAATTATTTATTTAATAACTCACTTTTAATTTCAAAAATGATTTATTTTACAATGGCAGTACTTATGAAAATTTAATCCATGAAATATTTATAAAGAGAAAAGAAAAGATAAGTAAATTAAAAATTTTATATAAATGTTTTTTATTATAATTTTGGTAATCAATAATTTATACTTATGATTTATTTTGATCTAATTCTTCAACAATTTAAATAATCAAATAGAATAGAAAGCATTAAATAATAGTGATTTATTGCATTTTTTAAATCAATTTTAATTGTCATTAAATGATTTAAATTCCAATTATAGAGATTTAAATCTATAATAAATTATAATTGAAAATATAAATAAAAATTATATTTTAAAAAATGAGAGTATTAATAAACAAAAATAGAAAAATAAATAAATTTATAGATTATTTTATAAAAAGTTTAAGTAATATTATTTATTGTATCATAATTAAAAATATATGAGAATTCAGTTTAATTAATGATAATGAAATATTAAGTTCTAGAATTATAGTTGAAAATGATATTCAATCAACCTTTGATAGGGATTAATTTTTCGAATTTAACCAGTCAAATGAAATTTGGAAAATATAAAATTTTAATCAAATTTTCGAAAAAAATCTTCTGTCTTAATTTACTTTTTCCAATGATTATTTCTAACCAACTGCTTTTTATGATTAATATTTTTAATTTAACATTTAGCGAGATCTAGGATTATTTTTGACTGATTGAACTAATGGTACTATATCCTATGATTTATTTTATCTTAAAATATTTAGGAAACTTTTAAATACCTTCCTTAACTATGATAAGATGATACACAAGGAGTATTTGGTTATAAATTAGTGTGTGCTAGCCATTCTTTGTAGACAGATTTAATTTAAGTCTCTTAAGGAGATTCATAATAAAATGAAGAACCAAAAATAACTGGTAAATTTGAACCTTTATTAGAACCAATCATTTTTCTAAAATCTTATTCTCCTTTTTATGATTCTTTTTCATCTAAATTCATTTTTAATGGGTCTGGACGAAATGGAGGTTTAACTTTTTTTAGTATTAGTTGTTTAAAATCTATTTAAGCAAAGAAAGGATGTTAAAGGATCTCTTGTATACCTCCAGAAGCTCCTAATCTTTGGTTAGGATTTTTATCTAATAATGACATTAGAAGACTTTTCACTTCTTTTGATAAATTTAACTTAAATTAAATGATAAATATTACATCATTAGGAAAAGTTAATTTAGAATAGAGTATATCTTAATATATTTAATTTGTATCTGTTGAATAATATGGTGGTAATCCAGTAAGTAATTCATAAAGCAAGGCACCTAAACAATAAAAATCAACAGTTTAGGAGTGTCCTTATTTTAATAGCATTTCAGGAGCCATATATTCTGGAGATCCACAAAAACTATATGCTTTTTCTTCTCTACTTATTTCTGGTTTACTTAATCCAAAGTCTGCAATTCTAACATGTCCTTCTATATCCATTAAGATGTTTTCAGGTTTAATATCTCTATATAATATATTTAACGAATGAATTTCATGTAAACCCTTAAAAATTAATAGAAATTAATACCAAACAAATTTCAGATATATAAAAGCATGCTTATTCTTCACTCATTCTTTTGATTTGTTTCAATTAGTAAAATAATTCTCCACCTTAACAAAACTCTAGAACAAAAACTACGAATTGTCTGGATTCGAATGCATATGATAAATGTAATAAGAATGGACTATTAAGGAAAGTCATGATATTTCGTTCATTCAATACAATTTATTATTTTTTCTTAGCTATAATAAATTCTTTATCTATAAGTTTGAGAGCATAAAATTTTCCTGTATCTTTTTTTCTAACCAAATAAACTAAAGAGAAACCTCCTACACCTATGTTTTTCAAAAAAATAAAATCCTTTAAACTAACTTTAGGTTCTGATTATGTTTATAAAAAAAATGCTTCTAATTTTAAACCAGAATTCATAAAGACATTGAATTGTAAATCTGGTTGAGCTATATAATAGTCAATTGGTATTGAATGTTATTATGAAATGAAGCTAACAATTTAATTCACTGATGGTTTATCCTTAAGATTGGCATAACATTCTTATGGATTTGCAAATGTAGTATCATGTAATCTTTACAATATTTAAAACCAAATAGATCTCATATTAATACTAATTTAATATCATTTTAATCTTACTGAGCTTCAAAATAAAAGTAATAATCTTAGTTGCCAAATTTTACAACTACATTATGATGTTTAACTTATTGCATTTATTCATCTTGTCCTAAGCTTTTTGCCTTATTTAATAATGATGCAGGATTTCCCATATCTGTTTTTATAGTTCTTTTGACTGATTCTATTGCTTCAATAGTTACAGATTGACCAGAACGCTTTTGCTAACCACCTTAATTACTAACGAAATTGGCATTAATAAAGAATTAGTTAGTTTAGGCAATTGAATTCTGAGATGATCGTTAACTTTATTTACTCAATTATTGTTTCATTCTCACCTCATTCTTTTTTTGTTTATACAAATAAAATTTTTCTATTGCATTGTCTGGAATTTAATCAATTGATAGAGGTTTAGTTTAAGAAGTTTTACGATGACTAGGAGTAGTATGAAATTAATTAAATTGATTTTTTCTTGAAAAAGAATCTTAAGTTCCTATCCTTAACATACCTTAATTTGACATCTAATATTAAGTTTAATTAATATAATTATAAATATTCTCAATTATAATCTATAATTGTTATTTGTTTAAATTATATCATCCTAAATACTAATTATTGGATATTTCAACAGAAATAAAATGAATTTAAATTAATTGATAAATGAAATGAATTATCTATAAATTACTTCAATTATCCATTATAAAGTACTACTTTTATTTCTTATTTGAGAAATGAATGTAAATTAAAAAGATATTTGATACAAAATAATTAATTCATATTTATGTGTTTTTGTATGAAAAAACGATTATTTATTTGAAGTGAAAGAAAACAATTTTATAATCTTAATATCTTTAAATTTTTATTGAAAATAATGAAACCTAAATTCAATTTTTAAAAAATAGAAAGACTTCTTATTCAAATCAATAACTATTTTTAAAGAATAATTGTATTAAAATATACTTTATTTAAAAAATATGAGATTTATACAATTAAAAGAGAACACCAATTGGAAAACTTTTAATTTGAAGTATAATAATTATTTTTAAAACGATAATAATGTTCATGAATCTATCTTAGGCAGGAATATCTTATTAAAATATATATTATAACAATTCAGCAATCAGAAATCTATTAATTATGAATTTAGGATGACAAACTTTAAACAGATCTATTCGTGGAACTTTTAGCTGAATATTCATCAGCTATTTTTCTCCAATATTTAGTCGATTCTATCACTACTCTGTCTACTATTGTTCTTTATTTCTTTTTTAACAAGATGTTCGGTTATGGTTATGATGAATTGTTGAGTCTTTATTACCAAAAGTTAAGCGAGTTTTCTATAATATTGTCCATTGAGTTTAATGATTTATAATTTTTATATTATTTTTATTAATATATATAGTATTAATAATGAATTATTAATAAATACAATTTACAAATAACTTAATCATTTAATTCAATTAGTTAATCCAATAAACTGAATAAACTGTATTAATTTAAGTAATTTTATTTTTTTTATAATAATATAATTACTAAAATCATAAAAAGATTATGAAATACTGTTTGAATTATAAAATAAAAATGAATAAAATTTGAAAAGCAATATATCTATCTAAAAGAGAATACAACATTAAAAATTTATATATTATAATTAATTTATGGAATAGCAACCACTCAGTAATTAAAGAGTATATACATTTTTCTAATTTTAGTAAGACTTTAATGATGACTAACTTATATAAAGAAGAGAATTGACTGCTTATGAATCATGTTTAGATTGTTGTGGTAGTTTTTCAGGATTTTTGAGAGTAACTATATTAATATAGAATTTTAAAGGCATGGCTTCCATGTGTATTTTGTTGTTGTGAAAATCCATTCTATGCAATTCAATAAAGCTCAATAGGTTTAGTAGAGAAATTTGGAAAATATCACAGGAGTCTACCACCTGGCTTAAATCAGATCAATCCATGCACAGTATATTTTTATTAAGAATTAAGGATACAGTCATACCAGTAGATTTAAGAACAAGAGTATTAGATTTAGATAGATAAATTATATTAACAAAAGACAATATATAAGTTAATATTGATACATGCATGTATTTTAGAATTATTGGTATGTAATTTAATTTAATACTTTTTTTTTTTTATGTAGATCCTGTAAGAGCT